TCTCTTCTTATATTCTGATGCAAAATTTTATCTCTTATGCATTGAATTTTACATATTTGATTCTATCTGAAGCTCATTTTTGATGCTATCCATCAAAAACATATGCTATATAATTTTGCTTGTTAGGTTTGAGCGGTAAGATTGCTTATGAATTTTGTCTGTGGAATATTTTAAAAGATAATATTTTTCTTTTTACCCCATTTCTAAAATAATTATTATTTTGCTTTTATCTTAATTTTACAGGTTTTTATCATATTAATTGGTAGTAGAGATGGAAGAATTTGAAGAATATGGAACATCCAAATGTCAGACGGACAAGGAATATATAGTTCTATCTTCTATTCAGTTTTTACTTATGCTCTATAATGAAACTTCTTAATGAGTTGTATGATTCCAATTGCTTTTTTTGTAATGATGATATGAAATGCAATTTGGTCAAATTTTTATATTATTAAAAGTTCTATTTCTATATTATTCAAGTTTTTATAGTACTTAACCATATAAAAATTGCAGTTGATAAGTTGATATTGATCAAATTTTTAAATAAATTTTTTAAAGAAAGATGATTGCTCATAATATATAGATTCTTCTACAACTTAAATTTTTTTAAAGAAATTAATAGTTAAAGTTCTAGACGTTTTATGATTAATTAAGTTATTTTTTTATTGTTGAAAACAAATTTTAATTAAGTGTTAGAAGAAAAAAAATTCTTAAAAAAAGAGAATTTTGGTTTAAAATTAAAGACTCATGCCGGTTAAAAGAGTTAAAGAGTTAAGTTCGAGCTTTTTAAACGAGCTCGATATTTTTTAAACGAGTCGATCTTGAGCACACTAATCGAGCTCAAATTCGAGCTCGAGCTCATTAAGGATTAATCGAGCCAGGCTTGATAAAGAAAATACTCGATTTGACTCAACTCGTTTACACCCCTATCTGGCATCTTTTTAGTCTTCAAAATAATATTCAAAAGTTTAGTAAGCTAAGAAATTCCTTCATCTCCTAAGCATTCCACACCTCCATTGGAATATCATTAGGTCCAAAAGTTTTCCCATACTTCATTGTCTTTAAAGCCTCTGTAACTTCAAATTTAGTAATACGCCGATAAAAACTAAAATCTCTATTTTTATTTAGAGTGTTAAGTCACTAAAGTCAATCTTATTTTCACAATCTTTATTGAAAATCTTAGCAAAATATCTCATCCACCTGTGTTGAATATTCTCTTATAAAAAGTACTTTTTGATCTTCATCCTTAATGCACTTCAGTTAAACTAAATCCTTACTACTACTATCTCTTTGTTTGGCTAGCTTATACATATATCTTTTGTCTTTAGTATCTAATATATTATATAAATCATTAAAAGCTAAAATCTTTGGATCACAGAATGCTTTCTTAAACTCCTTATGGACAACTTTATATTTTTCTAAATTTTCAGATTTTTTACATCTAAACCAATTTTTAGAACAAAGCTTCTTATTTTTTATCTCTTCTTGCACATTTTGATTCCAACACCAACTATTTTACTATTAAAAGCTTTTTTTTATACACCACGCACATCTTTTGCAGCATTCTTAATATTACAAACTACTATTTCCCACATTACATGAATTCAAATATTTTGCTTGGATGTAAATGCCAATTCGCTTTGCTTCCTCTATTTGAAATATCTATTTGGATGTACACATTAAAATGGTCAATCATGATTATGGTTAGATGGTTAAAACCTCTTTTGAATTGTTGAATACCTAGAGAGTTCTCACTAAAACTAATCTGCCCCATTTGAAATACATTTGATCCCCTCCATATGGGTAGTGGTCACCATCCATTTGTCTAGAATTGCAAAGGGGGTTGTCCCCACACTAACTGTCCTGTTTCTCATAACATCCTTCTAAAATACCCTTCTCCACATTTAGGCCACATTTAGGCCTGCCAACCATCCCTTCTCCCTTAAATTTCTTCTTTTTCCATCTGGCATTGGTTTCTCTCTTTCACACACTATCCTGTTTCCAGATTTGGAAAATTAATTTCTTTTCTACTCCTTTTTCTTCATCGATGCGCATTTCAAATTGAATAATTCAACATGCTTTGAGATGGAATACTGAGCTTAATGTTCTAGTTAAGAAGTTCTGTTTGCTCATGCAGGGCTGACAATTTAGTGATCTTTTTGCTGCTTTTTCTCTCGCCATAACATCATACAAGAGAGGAAACATATAAAAGAGGTAAGGAAATGAGTTCACCAACTGAAATATGTAAACTCACAACAAAATGCAATCCACTGACATCTCTTTTACTTCCAATTTTATTCTACAGCACAACACCATGTGAGGGGCACTCGAGTATCAGGGAAACAAGAGTAAAAGCAAGAAAGTTTAGGACATGCAAAAAGAAAACAAGAGAAATATAGCACATGCCTTTTATTACCACCCATGGACTACAACCAAAACCGACTGCAGCCTACGTAGAAATAAATGAAGAGGATTTACAAAACCATTCAAACCCTAATGAACCATAAAGAAAGACTAGGAAACAATTCAGTCAATGGAAAAGTTCGCTTTATCAATCTCAAATATGGATATATCTATGCATATATGTTTCCTGCCAATAAAATAATCATTTAAAAACTAAACCATGTATCTGACACTAGGAAACTGCAATTCCAATGTTAGTTACTTGCCAACATTTGAATGCAAGCAAATAAAAAAAAAAGAAAACAGATAGGCCAAATAAATTTTAGAGTAAAATTGAGAGCAAAGCCTTCCATTGAATCTAAGAACTTAAACCTAAAAAATAATATCATTAAATTAATTTAAATATCCATATTAATATATAAAATATGCACAAGTCAAAAATAAATAAATTATCTATTATTAAGTCAATATAATAGATAAACAAATATGTATGAGTGTAGCCTTTGTTTACTATAGATCATGCACCAAAATTTATAGAGAGGTTTATGGTTTAAAATTGCACAATTGGATATTTAGGCGTTCTTCATTCATGAGGTGAGGCATAAGCCTCAAGGCATTCTGAGGCGTAAGCATCAAAATCCTAAAATTGTATAAAGCGAAAATAAAGGTAAAAATGAATATTTTATATAATACATAAATAAAATGTTAAAGAATGACATATTAACTTTCTATTGAACTATAAAATAACAAATTGACATACATATGAAATAAAAAATTGTATAAGACGTAAAGTGACAAGTAATAAATTAAGTGAAATATAATTGAAATGAAAGTATTACAAGAGCAAAACAACATTCAATATAAAAATTGCATAAAAGTATTGTATAACAACAAGTTCAACTCCAAATTCTTTCCTTCTTAATTTCCGATTCATCCATATTTAATTCCTAAAAATAGCTTTAATAATTGGCAAAAGCTCAGAAATCATCTGCACTGACAGCACTATGGATCATAATAAATTGGTCTCTCCTCTGCCTCATCTAGAGTCCAGTGCTTCTCAATCTACTTCTTTATTTATTTCAATCATATTCATCTTTCATAAATATTTTTCATAAATATAAAGATGAGAATAATACTCCAAAATTTTTAAAAGAGATGGTGGTGGTGTGCGTCTTTCAAGTGATCCCAACAATGATGGCTAAGGCAAAAGTGGCAGACAGGAGATCGAGACAATCGAGAGGAATTTATTGTGGTTCGGGCACCCTGAATGTGTGATTTATTGGGTTTTTAAATTAGGATTTAGATAAGTTTTAATAAAAATATGTATAAATAGGGTGAGGCCTACACCTCATGTCAATGATGTGAGGCTTGCCTCAAGGCAGGCTTCAGTCAAACTGAGGTGCAAGCCTCATAACGAATGTTCAAGGCATAAGCCTCGAGGCGTTTTTCACTGGAATTGCGCTGAGATGAGCCTCATATTATGCAATTTTAAACAATGGCGAGGTCCAATATATGCCTTGTTGTGAGTCTTATAAAAAAACTCTAGATCACTCATCATTTGTGAATTGAAGTTCAAAAAAAATTGTTCTGGAATGGGATTGAATTATATTCTATGAAGTGATCATCATCCCTCTTCCTGTAATGCTTACATAAATGCATACTTTGCAAGCTGACCATGACAGAAAATAGAAGGAAAAAAAAAAGTGATGGGAAACAAGAAGAAAGGGAACGACTCACTAACCTCAGAATATCATCAGCTACTTGTCAGGCAAAAGAGACCATTAGAAAGGGAAGGAAAGGGGTTCTAAAATCAAATAAAAGAAAGAAATTTAAAAACCGCAACAAATAGTGGCACCAATCTTCGCTATCTTCATTCTTGGTCAACTTATTTCCTCTTTTCAACTGCATAGCTTCCATCCTTTCTCTCACTCATTACCTTCCAACTAAACAGCCAGGTCTAATCAATTTCAAGTTCATTCTTGAGTGCCAGCTATCTACTTATTATTTCCCATTGTAAATGACTGGAGTCAACAAATACAGGGAGCCTACAACATGCCCTTCACGCCATCTACCAAAAACACCATTCATCATCAAACAAACTTTAGAACAACCATTCTAGAAAACAACCATCTACTAACATAACTGTCCAGGTATGATGGACTACCAAAACAAAATCATACATAACCCCCCTCCCTTATCAAAAAGAATGCTCATTCAAAGATGATTTGTACAAGTCCTTGTAGTCAAACAAAGTTTCATGCAATGAACTCGTCATTGTTCAATTAACAAAAATCATTCTGAAGCAGAAGAAATGAAAAGCATCTATATAATTTAAAAATAAAAAGAAACTAAGCACGGTTAACAGCCAGTCTAAGGTTTAAACTCATGCTTTAATATTGGAAAGGTAAATTCTTTTATGTTTTATTTCTCATCTTTTTTTAAAATAAAGTGATCAAACAAAAGAAGCTGCAGCATTATTTGTAAATCAGTGGAGATGCTTCATTAGCATGCAGAGCAATAGAAGATAATTTTATGTGAACTACTGGAAATGTTGCAATACAAATAGCTTCTAGAAATAACACTCAATAGAAAAAAACCTGATATTGTCGAATCAGAGGCATGCCTTTCTTTCTCCTCTTTTCATGCCATAATTCATGAATAGCTTTAATTATATCTAATGAACCAAAATCTGCCATGAATTCTGCTATTTCATCATCGGTCAAGCAATCACATTGTTTTACATAAGCAACTTTCTCAAACATATCCATCACCCGCTCAAACATATCATCAGTCACTTCAAACTTCGTACTTTCATTATTATCCAACGAGTCCCTGAATTTTGAAATCCACTTTTCATCATCACTATCCATATCATAGAGCACATGAGAAGGATCCAGTGCCGTCTCAACTTCAGTTCCGACCATCTGATAATACTTTGATGAATTGCGAACAAAAGGAACTTCCGTAAAGCTCTCATTCCCACCATCAATCAATCGAACACCAGGTATGGGAATATTCTTCACAGAGGCAGCCCTTATATTCTGATTGAAGCAATGCCCATGCATCATTTTGAAAAGAAACCATTGGTTCCTATCAGTAAATTCCAAACTCCATTCCTTTCCTCCTTTCCACATCATGGCATGAGTATAGCGGTTTGGAATGCCAGGTTGCAGAACCTGTTGTGCCTTGTAGGAGAACTTGGTAATCCCAGCCAGCTTAACCATTATCTTCCAATCCTTCTGATCATCAGATTCAACAATAACCTCAGCCCCAAACTCTCTCCATCCTCGATCCTCAGTTGTAATGAGAACATTGGCGTGACAAGTTAGTGACTCCTGGAAGCTCCTGTGACTGTCCAAGCCAACGGTAAGTTTTTTAGGCAAATCAGCTTTGAACTTTTTATAAATAGAACTTTTCCTGTGATAAATCCGGCTTTTTGATCTAATATCATGACCTCTATTGAGTACTGGATATGAAACCTGGGTACGAGGCTTTTTAGTTGTGTTAAATAACCCACTTTGGATGAAATCTTCTGACCATAGTGTTGATCTACCCAATATAGGTGAAACTAAAATGTGTCGATTGTGATGCCATACACTCTGTGAAGCAGTTGCATTAGGAGTGTGAATAGAATTCTCATTCATGTCCCAAAGTAGTTTGGATGTTGAGTGCGTATCTTGTGTTCCCCTGTAAAGGGTTCGCTCCTCAGCCCTAGTACCTCTTAGAGTCTGCATGCCAGTGGTTTTTGAACTAGAAATGCACCCACCTTCAGATTTGTCTGGAGAAGAAGGATCACCAGGACACGAAGAGCACAAATTCTCAGGATGTTTATAAGACCTTGAATGCTCTGGAAGTTTGTGAAATCGAACCAACATCTCATCACTTGAGTTTTTTCCAACATCACTGTATCGTACAGAACATGAACCAACATTAACCTCAATACTCATGTAATCATGAGAGGACATCAAACAGTCTCCATCATTACTTAGAGAGAGAGCATCAGTATCTACTCGCAAGTGACCAAAACTAGACAGTTTAGAATCAGTAGCTACAGTGCTTGAGGAACCGAAATTCTCAAGAGTGATATCTGAAACTTGATCTGACTCCTCAACAGGGTTGTAGTTTGACTTGTATTTGCTTTCTTGACCGTCCTGTGACGTTGAAGAGAAGACTTATGCATGTTGAAAGAAGATTTAAACTCAACATCAAAGCCATGCCAAGGATAAATGGTGAAGTGGCAAAAAAAGAACAGCATAAAACACTAGAGCTTTCTCCACGGAAAGTAGAGAATGGTTTATGTTTCATATTCAAGGAACTGGTATTCTAAACAAAAAACCAGATTGATGCCTGAGAAAGACTTGAAAAACATCATCAAATGAAATAAAACTGTAACTGTACGATAAATTCAAATTCAAAACATCCATATTCAATATGATTCATTTTCTTCTATGGAAATAACATAAATTGTTACTCAAATTTGCAAATTGCATTTCTAGGATATATCACTTCTCAAAAAATCACGTTTTGTGGATGGAGAGAAAAACACCTATAACCCTCGAAGGAATACAGAAGCCTGTAATTCTAAGAAGGAAAATGACAAGCACCCAAGTGCTCTCCAAAATCAAATCTAAAGAAAATGTTTAATTATAAATAGTTCGCCATTAACTCTACTTCACATATGAACATAACACGCTATTTTGGGAAAATTTTATAAATAACACCAGAATCTTTCTTATATACAAATTTAAAAACCAAAAAGAAAAAAAAAAGAACAAGCAAACACAAGTATTGTGAGTGCCACAACAAATCAATGTGAATCTAATCAATCATTGAGAATGAAAGTTGATAATTTTGGTTTGCTCTTCAAGATCTGAGTGGGTATTACTGTAAGTAGTAGTTGGGCATTAGTTATGTAAATCAACAAAATCTGAGTGTTACAGAAGAGCCTTAAAAACACCACGAGTAGAATGAAGTTGACATGGAACTGGAGTTCATTAGAGTTCGAATCAGCAACAACAGACAAGCAATGTGATTTAAAAATTGGTATTTTGAAGGGGTTTGAATGTGCAAGGCGGAATGACTATTCTGAGACTAAAGGAGGGCAATTGCTAGTACTGAGTTTGCTTGAGCATCGGGAAATAAACCCCTATTGGGTAACGGTATGGCCGCATGGAAGCAGGGTACGACCTATTTAAGAAATTAAAAAAAAAAATTAAAAACCATTTTAGCTATTCTAAGTAATTGAATCCATATTTGGAGCCATCTTGAGCAGTGTACTAATAAACAAAGCCTCAAAAACTAGCCAGAAAAAACATATTATAATTTTCCAAGTTTAAATATAAAATATAGAAAAAAGAAATATTTACATGTAAAAAAAGGATTTATGTTGGACGAGCAAATTAAATATATACTTGAGTGTATAAATTGAAAGGGCATACCACCAAATATAACAAGAAAAAAAGCTAATGGAACTTAAATGGCAAATCAAGGAACCCGTTGCTTCTGACTACAACAACAGGACTTTTTTTTCCAAAATCAAGGAACCCGATGCCTAAGACTACAACAATAAAAGGATTTTCTTTTTCAAATCAAGGAACCCATTGCTGAGGAAAATGAACATTAAAAGGGGAAAAAATATTTAGAATACATAAATACACAAAACACCGTGGTCATTTCTACAATATATTCCTCGCTTATGTTTCAAATTATTTTGAAATGTCCAAACTATTTCAATTTAACCACTAAAAAAAAAATCAAGCCCAAAATCGAGTAAAAAACACTTCAAAATCTAAAAACAATGTTTAAATGAACTTCTGTAATTTATTTATCTTTTGGGCTTGGAGTCCCCCCTCACTCAACTCAGATTTGAAATCTCATCAGAAAAATTTTTTGCAACATAAACTTGAGTAGTTGATGTCACTTTAAAATTTCAGGAGCTTTACCAAGAAAACTAAAAACTTGTTTAGTTCAACCATATGCAAATAAATGAATAGATGATCCACTTCTTATTTAGTTCTAAAGGGGTCAAGCAGTCTAGCTGGTTAATAATCAAGACGAAAGGAAACTATAACTGATCCAACCCAATGCAACAAACTGAGTAGCGCTTATGAGTTGCCTGGTCCATTTATAGGTTTTTCAGCTAATGGTTAGAAGTTAAAAAACCAGCAAATAATGAACTGTGAACAAAAAAAAAATGAAACAGATTAAGCATATATCACCATAATAACCTACGCATGATAATCAACCATTCTTGAAGTAGGCAATTTGAAATATTATCCAATCATATTATGGAAATGTATGAATGCAGAACAACAAAATTAAAAGGAGCTACTAATGAAGTATAAATTACAGAGCAGAGAATGATTCATAGGATTTATTGTACCTCAACTACAACTGCCTCCTTAGAAAGTTGAACAAGTGTTCTGTCACATCTTATTGATTGGCTTTTGAAATGAGCATAAGCACAATCACCAAGAGACAATTCCTTAAACCTGATGCAGTATCTTAGAAGTTTCATTTCGAGGTATCTCCACCTTGAGTCACTCTCCACAAAACCATCCACAACAAAATCAAGTTTCTGATGATTGTTGTGCAAGTTCAACAAGTTAATTCTAATTTTTTTCAATGGCCTAATCTCAGCCGAAGGTGTGTGTGAATTTTTATGGCAATAATTTTCTCGCAATGTCTGGGACAGAAAAGCTACTGCCCAACTTAAACATCCTTCAAATAAAAAGAGTTTTAGACTGAGATTATCCACAAAACCTACCTCCATACGGACAAGTGGCAATAATTGCATCAGTTTGTAGTTATGAAGAAGAAAGAGACTTCTGCGCATCAACCAATTATCAGATCCAAGCATGCTTTGACAGCAGCCAAATACTGGTGAGCTTAACCTTAAAGTAACCTTTGTCATCACCTGTGGTATCAAAGTAATGTAGAGCTTTTTCAGAGCCGACTCTGTGTCAGCAAATGAAGCAAGCAAGCTAATAGGCCCGCCACAACCTACATGATCAGAATTCCTCTCCACAATGTTTCCCAAGCACCCACTATCCTTCCGGATGCGTCTTCTAAAATAAACAAAAGGTAACTTCCTACCCTCAGAGCAAATTAAGTTTTGGGAGATGCCATCCTCAGCTGATTCATCCAATAAACTAGAAGATAAACTAGGCAATGCATTCGGTATGCCCACACGTTTGAACCCTTTGGAAGCCAACAAGATTCTTCGTTGCGTCTTTACGATACCAAGAGCAGATGGCCTTTCTCGGCGAGTCGAACGAGTCAACCATGAAATGATGGGTTCTGTTTCTACCAAGCCTCCAGTAGAAAGATCATTCCCAGATCTTTTATGTCCTTGCTTATCCCGATTTTTTGCTTCTTTAATTGACCCTTCATGACTGAATTTATTAGCTACCTCACTAGGAAAAAGCAAAAGTTTAAATCTTTCATTTTGAAGATTAATCCATTCTTCATCACGGTCATCATATTTCACATGGTGCATCTTTGTTCTAGGGTCATAATCCTTGACAAGACCAAAGTACCAACACTTATCCAGGGGCCAAAACACTCGGATTCTCTGCTTGACAACCCAATAAGGATCCATATTATTGGAGCATACCTCATAGAAATGACGACGCTTCCTCACAAAACCTCTGCCTCCATGTTTCCTTGGCCTTAACACCCTACCAGTGTCATTTCTCTCTACACCAGAACCATTTGAATTCCTCCGAGACAACACCAGGGATGATTCTTTTGCTTGTTTTAGAGTTGCCCCCCTGCTATGATGAGAGAATCCAGCACAACTTGGATCAAACCTGGATGAAAGCATTCGAGCAGCATTCTGCTCGAGGTTATCTTCATCATCATCGGGAAAAACTCTAAGAGAATTAAGAAGAAAACCTTTATTATCCAAAAGATTGGAATCATGCTCCTTTCTGCCTTCAAATCGCCTTTCTGTAGCCTTGACAGGATCCAAATTACCAGCATTCCTTGTGCAACTATGAGAAACATTGTTAGTCGAAGCATTTTCTTTAAAATCTGTCAGCTTCCTTTTCGGCTCATGGATTTGAAACTGTGATTCAGACAGCTTATTACTCCTCTGATCAGTAGAACTCCTTGTATTGGAAGAAGCACCAACTATATCTCTGTATGAGTTAACAGACTGCACATTTTTTTTTCGACGCAGAACTCCGCGAGGCCGCTTTGTGATAATGATGCCACCTTCCAAACAATTTGATCTGTGTAAACCAATAGCACTAGATGGTTTATTTTCATCCTTTCCAGAAGATAAAGTAAAATCATTGCCAACGTGATGTGAGGAACCGCTCACAATTCTCAAACTCTTCACAGCAACATTTGACGAGCTTCGTTTCTCTTGCTTACATACATCAGAAGCCAATCCATTTGCCTTAAACCCTGCAACAGCCGCCTTAAGCTTACCCTTTCCATTGCTCTTAACAAAACTGTTCAAGGAGACCTCTTTCCCACTCCTCTTTCTAAACTCTGAAGTGGCTCCATTATGTAAAGAAGAGCTCCTTTTGCGCTTCAGAACTTTCGATTGAGGGGCTGCAACTGAAGCCCTATCCTTGGGACGCAATTTTGCAGATGGCGTTGTATATTTTCCAGTAGCAACGCTCAGAGAATCCAAAGGCCTAGACTTCCGAGGGATATCATATGCATCGGTCTTCTCGACACTGCGTTCCATCTACAATGACTCAATCCAAGGAAAAGAAAAGATAATCCCCAAATTTCATCGTCCATCATACAGGAAAATCGAATGAATACCCTAATTTCGGATCTGAAAACAATTTTTCAGCCATGAGATCCAATAATTCTAACGAAAATAATAGCCACAAATAATACAAAATTACTTAGAACCCTATGCTCAAACGATCTCCACATCCAACGGGCCGATCAAAGTAAAGTAATATCAAGAACGCGTACCAGGATAGGAAACACCCATAGATTGCACCAAAGAACTGCTACACTGTACAATAGATCCAGGCAATTCCTTAGGAAACGGCTTCTCGATCCAAATACGAACCTTCCAGTGCAGAAGCCCCTTGATCTACCGGCCTTTTTCGGGGTAATTTTTCTTGTCCTGGAAAACGACGATCTAGGGTTTCGATTTCACGATGCCTCTAGGGTTCAGATCGAAACAATTTGGGGGAAAATAGACGAAATAGAAAAACGAGGTACCCGTGCCTTCGACTGAGGTGAGGCGTCCATTTGTGATCGGACGGCTGATGTACGTCCGAGGGCGCCAGTCGCATTAATGGAATCAAAATTTTCGAGGCGAGAGGGGAAGGATCGGACAGTTCGGATTATCTGAATTGGACACGTGGACGTACACGATGAGCAATTAGGGAAGGGACGTGCGCGGGCTCTCGGCAGGCACGGTGATACCAACTGATTTCTGAGGCTTTATCTTTTCTTCCCTTACCTTTTCGGCTTTTTCCCGTTGCGTCGTACGTACCACATTGCCCCTTGGAGTTGAAGGAATTTGCGATGCCTCTGAAATTTCTTTTATTTATTATGTTTTATAAATTATAATTATTAAAATAAAAACTTAATTATTAAATATAAAATAACTAAACTTTTTTAATTTTTAAAATTAACTTAAGATTATAAAAAAAATATGAAAAATATTTCATATTATAAATAATTTAAAATAATCAAAATTTTAAATTAATAAAAACATTTATAAATTTCTTATATTTTCATAGGAAAAAAATTTTATAAAACAAAATAGCATAAAGTTCATTTTATTCCTCTTGTTATGTCATATGCATGTTAATTGAGGGGCTTATTTTCAAGCCATTTGACAAGGGGAAAATGGATATTATAATTAACTATCATTTCAATATCAAATTGAACCTCATTTATTATGAAAATTACTTACAACTAGGGCCTAATATTGGAAGCCCTAAGTCATCTATCTATTCATGGTAAGATAATGGTCATTTGAGTGTCCAAGATTCATCCAAGCAATTAAGATTATTGGTGTAACATGTTAAGAGAGTTGCTATTTGCATTATTTTACATTCTTGCAACTTGTATAGTTTTGATGATTTCAAATATTATTATTTTATTTGTAGTTATCTCCTAACACTTTTTGGAAGAGTTGTTTTTGCTCTTGTGTGTACTAACCTTTTAGAAAAATTAAACTCCAGACTACGAAGACTTCAAATCAAATTCAGCATGATATACTTTGTGTATTTAAAGCATGTATTTTTATTTGAATTAAGTTTGAGAGGGAGTGATTGTAATTAAGTGAATAAACACACACATTTAAGAAGATCTTGAAAAATTTGTATTGATCGTACGGGACTAACATAGTTCGTACGGGACGATCAGGTCAGTTATCTCCTCGTAAGAGCAATGGAACGAACATGAAGTGAAGAAAAATTTTTTAAGTCCTGATCGTCCAAGACGAAGTGTATTCGTCCCAGGAAGAAATGTTCTCTGGAAATTTTTTGTTTAGACAAAATTTATATTCGTTCTAGGACGAGTTGCTCTCTGGAGTATTTTCGTCCAGGACGAAGTGTATTCGTCCCGGGATGAAATCTCCTCTAGAGAATTTTCGTTCAGATGAAATTTATAATCGTGTCAGGACGAGTTGCTCTCTGGAAAAATTTCATTCGGACGAACCCATATTCATCACAGGACGAAGTGAACCGACTTTGAAATTTTAGAGACGTTCTGTAGTTTTTGGGAACCAACATATGGAATAACCGTTCGTACCGAACGAACCTAATTCGTACGGGATGATGTGTGTGTACGAAGTCATTTCGTACCCATATACATTAGGTTCGTTTCCAATGCATTTAAGTAAAATTGTCCAGGACGATCCACAATCGTACGGGACGATCCAATGCATATTGACTTGAAAATTTGCAGTTTTTGGATGATTTTTTGTGTCTTTCCTATAAATAGTCAAATCTAAATTGTTACTTAATCTTTTTGCCTACTGATCTTCATGCCTGTTGAAAGAAGAGTCAAGGAGAGAGTGTTCGAAGGGGGATTCTTACTACTGGAGCATGAAGGCTTCACTTGGTGTTCAAAGGTAAGAATCTTTACTTTTGATTTGTGTTTACTTCAATCTTTTCTCACTTATTTCTAGATTTTTTATGAAGAAGATTTGTCAAGGAGATACGGTTATTTGTCGACACTTGAAGAGTGTGAACAGCCGAAGGGTTCTCTACCTACACTAGGAAAGTGTGAAATGATGAAGGGTTCTTTGCCCACACTAGGAGAGTATGAAAGGACGAAGGATTCTCTGCCCAAACTAAGAGAGTGTGAAAAGGACGAAGGGTTCTCTGCCTACACCGGGAGAGTGTGAAAGGACGGATGGTTCTTTTCCAACATTAGGAAGCGTGTAAAAGGATGATGGTTCTCTACCGCACCGGGTAGTGGTGGAAGAGAGTTTTGTAAAGGCTTCTCCGCCTTGATGTGGGTGCAAAAGGAGAGTCACTAGTGGTATTAGTGCAATACTCGGAGGGTGTTTCCGGGGAGTGGATGTAGGTCAAGTTTGACTGAACCACTATAAAACTCGTGTCTTTTATTTTTTCGCTGCTTTTTATTTTTCTGTTTTACTATTTCAAAATTGTGGTTGAAAAAATGTTTCTATAAAATTCACTAAATTTAAATTCTCGATTTTAAATTTTAAAAGAGGGTAAAATTATTTTTTTAATATCAATTCACCCCCCCCCCTCTTGGTTAGCCGTTGGGACATAAGCTTAGGTTTAATAACTTAATTCATAGTGAATAAGTTTCAACAAGTGGTATCAGAGATTTGTTTCAAAATCATAAGTTTAGACTACTTTTTGATTAACGTAGATGGCTACATTTAGAAACCGAAATACACCCGAGGGTTACTCTATAACTAGACCTGCACTATTCGACAATATACCTTTTGATTTTTGGAAAACACGCATGTCTATATTTTTATAGTCACTTGATTATCGTATGTGGATCTTAGTTCAAGAAGGGTATACAAAACCAACTAGACTAGTTGATGGAGTTAGAGTTGAAACACCTTTTGCACTGGATAGCAGAAGAATGTGACTTAGCACAACTAAACACCTAATGCTTGAATAGTTTCTTTTGTGCTTTAAAATCAAAAGATTACATGCGGGTTTTCACTTGCAAATATGAGAATGACATATGGAATAGACTTTGTATAAATTATGAGGGGACTAATGAGGTTAAGCAATCTAGACTTAATATCTTGTTGCATGATTATGAACTATTTCGCATGAAACTAAATGAATCCATTTCTAATATGTACACAAGATTCACACAAATAGTCACCTCTTTGCATGCACTGGATAGGGAACTAATGAATACTAAAATGATTAATAAGATTCTTCGTTGTTTACCTACTACTTATGATACTAAAATTATTATAATTATAGAGTCTAAAGCTCTAAATATTTACTTTATTGACAATCTTCTTGGTTCGCTAATTGCTTACGAGCAATGAGTTAGCCAAAAAAAGATTGATATAGGTGAACCACGAAGGGAGAAGAACATAGCACTAAAAGTAGAATAATCTGAGAGTAAAAATTCACAACCTGAGGATGAAGATGAAATTGCATTGATAGTTAGACCATTCAGAAGCTTTTTGAAGAGGAAGCAGAAGAGACGCCAGTATTGAAATAGAGGTAAATTTAATAGAAATGTCAAGGTTTCAAATGATGTGATTTGCTATGAGTGTAGGAAACCTGGTCATATCAAGACTGAGTGCCCAAAACTCAAAGCCACTCCTAGCAAGGAGAAGGTAGAGGAGAAACCTATTGTAAAGAAGGGCAAGAAGAAGTTTCAAAGAGCTTTTTGGGCGGACTCAGTTTCAGATTCATCAGAGACTGAAAAGGAAGAGTAAGTCACTAATCTGTACTTAATGGTCGATAGTCTTGATCAGTTAGATCAAGAAGAGGTATGTGACTTAACCTATGATGAACTTTTAGAAGTTTTTGAACACATGCATGATGCGTATAGGAAAATGAAGAAAATATATGCTAGTCTAAGTTTAAAATTTGAAGAATTACAAAAGAAACATGAAATCCTTAAGAAAGATCATCTTTAATTGATGACAACCACATGAAATTACTTGATGAATTTGATGACTTGAATAAAAAACATAAAAATTTAAAATCATCCCATGCTGAACTTGAAAAAGATTTTAAAAATTTTAGGGATGAAACAAAGAGCAGGATTTATAGATCAAATTATACAAATCAAATTTTGGAAGATATGAATTCATTTTATAAATTAATGATAAAAGCTCTCAAGGATAATAGGATACCGTCTGAACTTGAAGATTTTACTAATTATATTATGTATCCTAAATTTATGCAATCCCTGA